GCAAAATGAAGTGAGTGAGAAGGAAGCTCATGGGATAAACAAACCGCTAACAAATCGGGTAGCTTACAGGATTTGAGATATCAATGTTTTGTAGCAGGATAGTTGTGATAACACTCTTAGGGCTATATAAACACCTGCTTAGCACACTTCCGTTCATTCCACATGGTGCTGCAGTGGCAGCTGGAGGGCAGTGGAGAGAGGAAGGGAGGATGAGGAAGGGAAGCGAAAAATCTACCGTCATATCATGATTGTGTCCCTTCTACTGTATGAAACACCATTGTGTTGCATACGCGTCACTTCCAGGAGGTGTTGGTGTCACAGGAGGAAGGGACCATAGCGGAGGATAGAAAGCTTGCGCAGGAAAGGAAGGTCCCGGCGGTTGACGGGGGACTAATCTGGTATAGTAATGAAAGTAGAAAACAAAGCTCAGAGAGCCTTTGAGAGGCAAGTACAAAAACTTTTCAATGCTCTGCTCGTCAAGCACGGCAGCTTAGGCTAAAAAGAGATTTTCCTCGCTTCCTTAACAGAAAGCTATTTGTGTGACTGATACACCTTCCCTGATTCGCTCCGTCTTTATCGTAACCTCTTCCTTCAAATAGCTACTCAACTTTGCCTTGCGCCATAAAAACTAGGGCAAACCCCCTAGAGAACGTAACAACGGCAATATCTTAGCCTAAAAAAATGGCCACCAATCTTGGTGCAGGCACAACTATTGCTCCAGCGTACACATAGCGGCAAATCCCTGTCTAATGACTGTTTGTTCCCCATTTCGGCCGTTTTCATAGGCTTGATCATGTGTACAGTTATGTCCACTTTCCGCACGCGGTAAGTGGAAAATTGTCATCGTATCGACATGGTCTTTGTCATTATCTTGCTCTGTCACGCTTTACACCACTCGATACACATTTAGTCGGTGTCAAAACTGTCTAAGAAGGTTGGATTGATAAAGGTCAAAAACCTAGTATTTGGCGTGATCCAGTTGTGTCACGAGGAGCTGCGCAAATAACACATAATTGAAATTGTAAAGTATGTGAATAGGATTTAACCCAAAAAGTTGCTTGGAGGCCCATTCAATCACAGGTCGATGTGTACTTTCGAATTCGGTTCATATTAAGCGCCTAGCAGAGATCTGCAGGGCCAACCGTGCGCGTTGCGCATTTCCTTATAAGAGGTTCATATTTTTGATCAGAGTAAAGGTCAAAGGTTGGAGTGTGGTCGTATTTCTGGAAGCCGAATGGGTTCCTGATGGCCGGTGGTTCTTAGAGGCCGTTTTAGATGGGTTCTGGGAAAGTTTGGGGAGAATTCGAATGGGTTACATTATCCTGTCCTTCAACGTACCCTACCCGCATTCCGCTCGACGGCGTTTTGGAGGCGAAAGTAGGCGCAGTTGGATTTTGTCGACTGATCTCTGATCCAAATACTCTACAAACAGCCATAAGAATAAGGAGTCCGTCGGGTTAGATTTTAGTTGCCTCGACGGTTCTCTCTGAAGCCGATGGTGGTGGGGGTCGAACGCCTTCTAACACATGTGAAGGGGAGAAGTCGCAAAATTTTTGAATTTTGAGCATTGGATGTTTGATTGATCCTGGATGGGAAGCCTGCGTGAAATTTGGAGCATTTGGCTCGAGCATTATACGCTCAATAAACAACGCCACTCGCCATAATCACCCTGACCTGGCATTGAAAAATAATTCAAATAGTTATTCGTGGGCAGCGCAAGGTGAGGCAAATATGCATCCACATAATTGTGACGGCTCATGTCAGATACAAATGCGTGGCGCACCACAGAAGTTGATTGATCAAAACTGTCTATTTACAGAAATTTTGTCTTTCCGAGATGGGATAGACAAATCATGAATGAGATTTTCGGAATTTCTTCAGAATCCTTAACGATTTCACGCAAAATTAGCAGGTGGCACTTTTCTATAAGATTACCAATAATTAATATCAACCATTATTATTATCAGAGCCGACGTTTGTTAGAGACTAGATAACGATTACCCTTTACGGTGACCCAATTGCCCTTTCTGTGAAATAAGAAGAACAAAATGAGGCAAGGAGTAGATGAATACCTGAGAGGCATCAGTCACCTTTTCGCCTCTTTTTGAAGCTGCCTGTTCGAAGAACGGTCGCAGAGCATGGAGAATATCATTGAGCCTTGTTTCCACTTCTGCACCAGTTCCTGGCGACAGGAAGGGCAGTCTAATAAGACCGTCCAGCCATGGAAGCAGCGAACTCCGTTGACCTTTCGCAGTATAAAAACTGCAGCATAACATCAGCGCTATAATATTCTTCTTCACATTCTGTAAACATTACACCAGAAGTCCTTCAAAGCCTCACCTGTAGCTAACAGTAACTGCTGACGGTTCATCACTTCAGTATCATGCACAGCTGGCATGAATTGAGGTTTTGAAGAAACTGATTCGATTGAAAAACAATGTTGAAGTGGGTCAGCGCCTCAGCGCCCCCTACTCACATTTCGTGAAATCAGCGATAAATGGTGTCAAAATGGGAAAGTTGACACTTTTAGGCCATTGTCTCTTTCTCTTCTCATCGAACCCATCTGAAATCATTAAAATCATAGTATTTGAGCGTTCTTTATGTTCTTGCCCTTTTCCTTGTTAAACACTGCTACGGACTGAGTGACCCGATACGGTCTTCTCACAAAAACTGACCAGGGTTTTTATACCTAGCGATTATTTCATAAAACAGGTGCGGTGATGAATTCGTTAAGAAGTCCCTGCAAAGTACGTTTAACCGGATCTGTCGGAAAAAGCCTCTTCGTGAAGTAACTTTGATTTCTTTTTGCTTTATAAAAAACTTCTTTGCTCATACTGCTTGCATTATTCGTTTAAACAAAGTTTTAACAACAAAAAAAAAGACATTTCACAGAAAAACTTTTTGCCCATGTCGCACCACAGCGATTTTGCAAAGAATGCCGTCGTTGAATAAAAGTCTTTTAGCAAAATATTTTTTACCAGTTGGCGCCGCACGCATTGCGCGCGCAAGCACAGTTCTGCGGCGATATGGGATGGTGCGGCGTGAATTCTCGAATTTGGCCCCATACACAACGAATATTTGACTTTTAGGCTGAAACGGACTGCCTCTCGATTAAAAAGTCTTGTGGTAAACTTCGCTTCTTTCATTGCATGTCTCACCTATCTTTCTTCCTCGCTGACCTCTTAACGCTTCTTACCCAAGCTCTAAGCTCTAGTTCCGTTGACGGACCTCATTCTTTTCACTTCTACATCTGTCTCCCAGACTATCCTGAGATTAATTGTGGACAATCTGAGCGCACTTCTGGTAAAACTCGCCCCCCTCCGCTCCACCGCTTCCAACTGACCACAATGTGACCTCCAACTCCTACATCTCCCAGTACTCTCTATCCCGAACTCTTTTTCCACCGTCTCCCGGGTACTTTCTGAAACCGCAAGTATGGTGAATTCGCTCCCGCAAATCTTCCGGCACCTTTGTGGCATTTGTCGCCCCACCCACCTAGCCGATCATGTGTCATCTCGCCCCGCCGCTTGGCGTTGTCAACATCGACCTCACTAAATTTGCGCCACTTCTTAGAGCTGTATAGACTCATTATGATATACTGCCTGTTAGCAAACTCCCCCGCCACGTGTGTCATTTGCTTCGCCCGTTTTCCTTCACACCCCCCAGCCGCAGGCTCGCAATTAGAGCTGCCTCTTAGAGTTGAAGCTCAATTCCGTTGACAAGACTCAACACTCACTTTTTCCCGTCTCCCAGACTCTTAAAACCTAATTATGAATTTTTGTGATAACTTGCCCTACTCTCACGACAATAAACTGCTCCGCCACACATCGATGGCACTCCCACTTTCAGCTCCTTCACCCTTCGGGCTCCACCCCTATCCACAAGTTTTCTTCTAAATAAAGCTCCTTGTTCGTATTTCATTAGAACAAAATATACATTAATTCTCCCGATCCACCCCGTCTAGGTAACCGTCCGCTCCACCTTTGGAATAACCCGCCTCCCCCCCGCGACCTGCATAGGCTTCTTAAGACCTCTTTCTATCTCTTTGCGTGCATAATCTCCTTTCCTGCTTCGCAAAACTTCTCCGGCCCGAATTATGAGGACTTGTAGAAAAACTGCTACACTTCAGAGCGCGCTCCGCCCATTGTGGGCGGGCCTCCGCCCACGTCATGTATGCTGGAAACACCTTAGACATTGCTCCCTACACCCAATTTGTTTTCTGCTCTGTAGGCTTTCTCCCAACCGAGTTATGAATTTTTTCATAAAGCACTGCTTTTTTGGAGAACGCCCCGCCCACCGGGGGTGGGTCTCCCTAATTCGATGTGACTTACCAATGCACACCTTTGCCTACTTTTTCCCCCATTTCGGCTGTGTTGGTACATCTGAAATCCTGGTCGATAGTACAACTCACTTCGATGCACGCCACGCCCACTGTGGGCGGGGCTCCGCTTAGCTGATGTGTGTTTTGTACTTCGTGAGACCTTGCCCACCCATCCCACACTTGACCCGGTCTCCAGGCGGATCCCGAGGAGCTAGGGAATTTCGTGACAGACATACAGACGACAGACAGACGAAGCGCTTCATAGTAAGTAGGATCGAGGCACCCTCACTCAAGCTGCTAGTATGCATCCACACCGTTAACTCGTCCGCAGTCAGCAGGCAAGGCGATCTCAATCCTTCGTATTTAACAATTCCTTCTAATCCTTCACACCATTTCGCATCATTCCTTCCATTTTGGTCGAGTTATCGTGCTGTCCACCTCTAATGAATTGTGTGCTCGAATGCTTCTGAAGTTGGAACCAGAATGATCTCCCTTTCGCCCTAGTGGGTAAAAAATTTTTTCAAAAGAGACTGTAGTGAATTATTGAACAAGCGAGTGCGGAATCGTATCTGGCTCCGTAAAATTACCCAACATTACTGAATTACCCTATCTTTAAGAAATACTTCATCAGCGAGGAAGTTACAAGTCATTGCCACTGATATGGGGAATATCAATAGCAATGATTTGTAACTTGCTCGCTTATTTCACCTATGCTCCAAAACTGAACGGAGTAAAGCAAAAGATGGTGTTTTCACGTCTGAAGGATGTTGCCAGTGAAAATCGGGAGCACAATTTCGAAATTCTTGAAAACGAGAGGGAAGTCGATTGATTATCGAAATCCTGCCCCTGGACAAATCTAAAAAGTGCAAGCAATAATATCTAGTTCCAAAACAACTTTTCACTTCAACTTGATTACTTGTGACTGAGTGAAAGACTGTGATTGAAAGAGCTTCTAATCGTGATAAAGAGAACAGTTCAAATTCTAATATATTCACAAAATGATTTCATTGAAAAAACGTATTGCTAGTAGCTGACAGTGTGAAAACACCTGTTACTGAAATTCGCATCTCATATATTATAATATCGGAAACCATTTTCCATAAAAATTACAAAACAATCTATTGTGAACTGCAAACTGCACACGGAAAAATTGAGTTGTATTGCGTTGCGTGAGTCCTACCCACTTTTTATCGATGTCTTCACTTCCATCTTCTTTTTTGTGCACTATGTTGTAGTGTCTTCTTCCTTTTGAAGCCAATATCATCCTGTTCTCAAAAGTTAGTGAAATAACTACATCACTTTACGTCAGTCCTCAAATTGAACTCACTAGGGGCTCTGGCACGTTACATCTAGCAGCAGTCTAACGTATCAGAGAAGCTCTTATGGGCAACAGTTCAACTCTTCAATAAGTTTGGAACCACCACAGATGGAAAATTGCGGAGATTCGAAGGTTACAGTTACCACCAGGACAATTCTCATACGCGAAAACTCGCTCTCCTCTTGTCGACTTTCGCATCGAGGGGTTATACCGAGCCCTCCGCTATGTTATGGATTGTATTAGGTCGTGAAGAAAGTTCTTGCGCTTTTCGGTGTTTCGTTTTTGAACGCTTTATTTTGTTACGAATTCAAGCAAGCTGCCAATGAGCTGTATGTGGTTTTGAAGAGCTTTTCTTGTTCTATCTAACAGCTAGGCTAGCTATGTTCCTTATCATTTAGTTAGTCATTTTTTGAAGCCTTGTATATGGCACCAGATGTGATCCTCTTGCGCGACTTGGGTTTATCACTGGCCTGGGGGTCACACCTAGACCGGATAATTAAATATATTAATAACCAGTTTGGCTGCGCACGCATTCGCGTGCATGAGACGGGGCTGCAGCGGTAAAATCGGGCCCATCAGTATTTTTGTCTTGATTTTAGCTTTCTGCTCGGTACATCTTACTTACGCCGACTGACGAATCAAACTATGTTTTCTAAGCCCTGCACCGGCTTGATCCCCTTCTTTTAAACAAAGTCGATTTGGAGAAGAGTGCCCAATCTCTGGCAAACTCATCGACAAAAGTGGCAAAGCTTCATTCAGTTAATGACATTTCTAGGCAAAGTATAATTCTCGCCTTCATGGAACATCTGTAGTATCCCCATCTCGATGTTCTTCACACTACCCTTAACTGGAATAACAGTCTAACTGATTTCCCCAGTCGTAAGAACCACTGGCTACTTGTGATTTGATACATGGCAAATACACGGGCATAACTTCAAACGACTATACACATAAAATATAAAATTGAATTGCCTGAGCGCTGGAAGACGTTATTTTTTCAGGTCTCTAAGTCATCTCGGAGCCGAATTATGAGGTCTTGTAAATGGCGTTATGAGTCACGAATTTCTGAGGCAGACCCCGCCCACTTTGGTGCATGGTTAGCCCAACAATGGCATTCAACCCTACTCCATACCTCAATACTTATGCACATTTTCCCCGGTCGCCGGAACTTCTAGGAACCGAGTTATGAGAGCGGTGGCAAACTCCGCCCACATCCGGGTGTGCCACGCCCAGCGTTCACATTCAAACCTCTACTCCTACTTTCACCTCTGGCGTATTTTTTTCAGGTCTCTAAGTCATCTCGGAGCCGAATTATGAGGTCTTGTAGGGGACGAAATCGAGCAACGTATCGTTGTGGTAAACCCCGCCCACTTCGTTACATGCCTCGCTCTCACCGATACCAAAAATACCAATCTAATTTCCCCCCACCTCAATCTACTATTCTCCACACCCCGGGACTCATAGGAACCGAGTTATGAGGCTGGTTGCTAACTCCGCCCACTTTGGTGTAAGCTACGCCCAGCCCTGACATTTAGCTTCTCCTCTTCTCCTAACCTGTATCCACTGTTTTCAGGTTTCCATAGTCTAATCTCATCGGTCCGCCGAACCAAAGCCACCCATGTACTTGCCCTGAGACGCAGGTGGATTCAGGGATGGACTCCCTGTTTCTGTGCTGCAGTGTTGATTCATACCAGCTGTCTCCACTCAGGCGTATCCATTGCATGCTTGCGTGTGTGGTGCGCTCTGTGCGTGCGCTGGTATCCTGCATGTCTGCACCAGTCTCAATTAAAGCTGCATTCAGACTGGAAGTACATGGCGCCATTCGGGTCCGCATCTCAAAGAAATAAGCCCCTTGTTCCGCTCCAGGATAGCGTGGCTAACTACCTGGAGGTCTATCCTAGCCCGCACGACAGAGCCTGGCAAGCTACTCGTGTGCCTTCAATATGCCGAAAACAGCAATATGGATGGGCCTCATTCCCCTGAACCTGAGGGAGCCCCCAATACGGCAGCGTTGGGTAGGACCGCTCGGGAGAGGCTGCTAGAATCTCAGGGCCCGGATAGGCTGCCTAAACGAAGAAGGACTAAGATGGCGATCTGTACTTTCAACGCACGAACGCTTGCATCCGAAGCTCACATCGAAGATCTGATGATGCAGGCCAGGAAGATCAAGTACGACGTCATCGGACTGACCGAGACGAGAAGGCACCGCCCGCTACACGCCGTTTTCGATACTGGAGAAGAACTGTTCCTTGGAACATGCGACAGCAGAGGCGTTGGCGGTGGGTGTCCTCGCATACACTTGCACTTGGCCATAAACATCGATTCGTACGAAAGCCTTACGACCCGAATCGGACGTTTGAGATTGAGAAGATGTGGTTCAACTCCTGCTTTGACAATCTTCGTCGCCTACGCACCAACATCGAGCTACGACGAGGAAGGAACACGAAGCATTTTATATGGAATTGGAGAAGTTCTACAGGGAAGATCATACCTTCTTCAAGGTCATCGTCGGCGACTTCAACGCCAAGATTGGCCCGAGAAGAACGGCTGAAGAACTTCACATCGGTACTCACGGAATGGATTGGAATGAGCAGGGCGAAAGACTGTCTGAGTTTATCATGTCGACCAATACCATCCATGGTAACTCGCAGTTCCAGAAGCCCTCTCACCTTCGCTGGACTTGGGAGTCACCTGATGGACAGTTCCATAACGAGATAGACCACATCATCTTCAATCGAAGGTTTTGCCTGACCGACGTCGCTGTTGTTCCAAAGTTCTACACGGGATCGGACCATCGTCTCCTCCGCGCAAGATTCCCACTTCTCGATGCGTGTTGAGAGAGCAGCAAAGTTCAGGAAGCGAAGTCCCAGGACAGTCATCAACTGGGACCACTTCGCTTCCCTCGTCAGCTTATGGGAGGATTCCGTCATCGAAAACATCGACGAGGAGTACTATCGGCTCGTTGAACATCTTCACGATTGTGGCAAGAAGGCAGAGAGTTTGAAAGTCACCAAGGGACGTCTGTCTCCGGAAACTCTCGAACTGATACGCCAGCGTGGAGCCGCACGAGCTGCAGGCAATCACCGACTCACGTCCGAGCTTGCGAAGCTATGCAGAGAGGCGATAAAGGAAGATCTCAAGGAGCGAAGAGCAGCAGTATTAGCTGAAGCAGCAGAGGCTGGGAGGAGCATCCGCAATGCCCGCCGAAGCTTTGCCAGCTACAAGACCAAGATGACCTGCCTCCGACGTCCAGATGGAACAGTTACTGCATCCCGAAGGGCAATGGAGAAAGTCATCCACGACTTCTACTCGGATCTCTTCGATAGCCATGTCCATCTGCCTACTTATCAACCGCGAGAGGATGGATACGTTGTCCCTTCAGTTCTCTCTTCCGAAGTCCGACACGTTGTATGGTAGCCATCAAAGTTCGTGACGAACGTACACGCCCGCTCGTACAGGGTAAACGACATCTGAGACACGCAGCCGCCAGTTATCATCAGAACTCTGGCTCGACTCTTCACGCGCTACCTGTCGGAATGCAAGGTACCCACTCCGTGGAAAACCAGCAGGACCGTGTTGCTGTACAAGAAGGGAGACTTGGACGACATTGGCAACTATCGCCCAATCTGCCTGCTGTCTGTAATCTACAAGCTATTCACTCGAGTCATCCTTAACAGGATCGGCAGAATACTAGATGAAGGACAGCCATGCGAGCAAGCAGGGTTCCGAAGAGGGTTCAGCACGATCGACCATATCCACACGGTTACAAGACTCATTGAAGTTTCACGAGAGTACAAGATGCCGCTTTGTCTCACGTTCATCGACTTGAAGAAGGCCTTCGACTCTGTGGAGACAGAAGCGGTCATCGAAGCCTTGGGCAACCAGGGCGTCCCTACTCAGTACATCAAGATTCTTCGTGAGCTCTACAGCAACTTTACGACCAGAATCTCACCATTCTACAAGGAGGTCATCATCGACGTCAAGAGAGGGGTCCGACAGGGCGACACCATCTCGCCCAAACTCTTCAGCGCCGCTCTCGAGAACGTCATGCGTCAACTGGAATGGGAAGACATGGGAGTGAAGGTCGACGGCCGGCAACTACACCACCTTCGTTTTGCTGACGACATCGTTCTTATAACGCCGAACATCGAGCAAGCGGAGCGAATGCTGGCTGATTTCGACTGCGCCTGTGGTAAGGTTGGTCTACAGCTGAACCTAACGAAGACGATGTTTATGAGAAACGGATTGGTTCCTGATGCCCCATTCACGCTCAACGGAACGAACATCACCGAATGCTCCAGCTACGTGTACCTAGGTCGGGAAATCAATATGATGAACGATCTAGCTCCAGAGCTGAGCAGGAGGAAACGAGCGGCTTGGGGAGCGTACAAGAACATCGAGGGAGTAGTGAAGAAGACGAAGAACATCCGGCTCCGTGCCCACCTCTTCGATTCCGCTGTCCTTCCTGCCCTAACCTACGCCTCAGAGACTTGGACTCTGCGCAGGCAGGACGAGCATGCGGTCAGCGTTATCCAACGCGCTGTCGAGAGGACGATGCTAGGAGTAACCCTATACACGCAAGTGCAGAGGGGAATCCGGAGTGCCGAACTACGCCAACGATCGAAGATCAGGGACGCTGCCGTTTTCGCCAAGGAATCGAAGATAAGGTGGGCCGGACACGTCATGCGATTTTGCGATGACCGTTGGACCAGAGCGGTTACCGACTGGATCCCTCGGGACGTCAAACGAACACCTGGACGACCGCCGGCCCGATGGTCAGACTTCTTCACGAAAGCTCTGAACGAAAGGAATGAATGGACTTCGTGTCCCTCGAGCAAGGAGGATCCACTGGACCACTCTAGCACGCGACAGGGACGAATGGAGACGTTGCTGGCGCCCGCTCGAGCAATTCGATGATCAACGGGACGACAGGTGATACAGGTGAACCATCTCAGAGCCGATTTATGAGCTCTTGTAGAAAACGTCGTCTACTTCAGGACACGCTCCGCCCATTGTGGGCGGACCTCCGTTCACATCATGTGTGCTGGAAATACCTTAGACATCGCTGCCCTGCACTAATTTCTTTTCTGCTCTGTAGGCTTCCTCCTAACCTAGTTATTGATATTTTTATTGAGCACCGCTTTTCCAGAGAACGCCCCGCCCACCGAGGGTGGGTCTCCCCAATGCAATCTGGCTTACCGACGCACATTTATAACCACTTTTTGTTCCAGTCTCGAGGCTGTTTTTGACTGTATTTGGAATCAACCGATGCACGCCACGCCCACTGTGGGCGGGGCTCCGCTTGGCTGATGTGTGTTTTTTACTTCTAGGGATATGGTATACCCATCCCAAACTTGACCTGGACCCTGTAGGTTGTTGTTCGCTTGATACCGAATTTCGTGACAGACGGACAGACAGACATAGCGCATTATATATAGTATAAATATATATATATATATTATATATATATATATATATATATATATTATTTATTATCATTTATTATATATATATAAGCATACTCCAAGAGCAAATTTGCATGATTTCCTTTTTCTAGCTCAAAGCAGGCCAGTATGGAGAGGAAGCAGGTCAAGATATTATAGACGCACTTGGCTGAGATTCGCAATAAATATGGTCTGAAGCAATTGTTCAAAAAGCTTTTGTAAGAATAGCGAGAGCCCTAAAGATTGTGAGGGTGGTGATCGGAGATTGGACAACGCCAACGATTAGTCGAACGTTCTGGTTGAAGCACGTTTGCACAAATCTATTGAGAGGGTTCCTCCTAAACTAATCGCACTTGCATTGTGTTTTCTTGTTGTACGGGAAGAGCTGGAAAGTCCCAAAAATTCAAATAGGGCGTGCCGCGACAGCTCACCATTTTGAAGGGTCGTTCGCCGCGTTCTAGCTTGTTTCATGCCATGAAAACGACCTGACTTTTTGATCATTTGCGACGCACGACAAAGAACGGATTCTTTGCTACAGAATACGAACCTTTGGTGAAGTGATCGACCGCGATCAGGCTCTACAAACTTTGCAAAAGTGAAACTTCACTGAAGGAAGGTTGAGGTGACTTTCATAAGGTCAGCGGCTGGTCTAGCTTTTCGTAACCAGGTGGATCTGTTAATGTGGAAAAAGTACTCCTGATAATGTGTCAAACTACTCCTAGAACTCTGGCACATATGCTCGAAATTCCTCATTATAAAGGAACCGGCTCGTCCCTGACAGGTAGCTCGGACGCACATTCCACAACCAACCCTGCAGAAGTTGGACAAGATTGGCTACGAATTAGTCCTGCGAACATCCTACTCGGTAGACCTTTTGCCTATAATTTGTCACTTTCTCGACTACCTGGATAGCTTCTCCAAAGAGTTATGCTTCAAAAACCAACATGATGCGGAAACGACCTCCGCCGGGTTCATCGTCTCTAGAGCTCCAGTATTCTGCACTACCGGGCTGATTCAACGCAGCTATTATTGGCAGAGGTTTGTGGATTCTAACAGTCTTTACTCCAATCAAAAAGGTTTCGAATGAGCCGAGATACAGGCATTTGAAAATCAAGGTCCAAAAGCGCAAGAACTTTCTTCACGACCTAATACTACTGCAGCCATTCCATAGAACCGATGATTACCCAGCTCTAAACCAGTCTTTGGGAGTCTTGAATTCCGTCATCTTACTGTTGCAGGAATAAGAGCAGCATCAGGCTATGAAAGTCGAGGCCACATTTGGTATTCGATTAATTGCTTCTATACTAATTCTGATACCAGCCTTATGTGGTCTTTTGTTGCAGACCTTACTTGGCATTGCGCTTTATACGGTGAGCGCAGAGTTGTATTTATTTTAAACAGTCTTTGGGAAAAATGCCTTTTTTGTAGGGATGGAAAACATTCAGAGAGAACAGTATCTACTTGATCACAGTACAACTGATGTGCTGTGATGTTTGTGCCCTCATGTTGGATCTTTACGCAGCGTTCCCGTTGACTCTCACTGGAGTTCAGGTCGGGACTTTGTTTTTGGAGGGTCTCTCCTTCTTACAAGTGAATGGTTGTCGAGAGATGAGGCCTGCAAGAGACAGGCACGCGCCCTTCCAAGGACGTGTTCTGATAGTCACTAGTACATGTGGTAAGCGCTGCCTTAGTGAAGAGCTCGCTCCCTATGACTTTTGCGTTTAGAGCCGCGTGAAACATCTCCTTTTTTATGGAAGCATGACTAGCCTTCACACAAAGTAGGAGAGACTCCACAGTGCGTGAGCATGTTCTATTTTCCCCGAAGTCCCTCCCATGCTTAGTCAACGCCTTTTGCGATGGCGCCTAGATCTTGCTGAAAATTAATACATTTAGTACTACGGCGCGCGTTTCCGCTTTTTGGCTGCGCGGGACTAGAGCAGTTTGGGGCGCCGTCTCCTCAACTCAGGTCTGTAGGTTTTTCTCGAAAACAGAAGCGGCTGAAGGGAATTATATCAAAATATTGGTCAAAAGGAACTGTAATGGTAATGGGAAGGCAAGCTCACTAACATTCGTTGCAATGCACATAAAAAGCATTTTTCCCCGCTTTTTGAGTGAACACCTTATCTCTCATAGAAGGCTGTAGTTACTCCTGATATTCTTTCCATTCAAATTTTTAGGGGAAAGAAAAGAAAAAGAAGAATTTACCAAATCAAGAATTTGGTATAATTCAGAAAACCTGTTCTGAAGCAACGCCACTATATT